TTGATGATTTTAGCCTAAGCGACACTTGCGTAGACGTTAATAACGTACAGAGTAAATTGCAGTCTAACCTTGTATGCAGTTCGCTCTTAATATTAACTATATCGTGCAAACAAATCTGTAAAAATCTGTCTTGTTATTTGGTCCAGTGAAAGAACACATTATTCTTTTAGTTCGGATCGTGGCAGTATCACCGGACCAGCCTCAATAACATCTCTTTGGTATATGTTCGGAGGTCCAAGCAAACACTTGTCTGGAGTAAATCGTTACTTAGGTCAATTTGATAGAATGTATCGTAGATGATTCGACTAAGATATCATGGGTGGCTTCGCAACACGGTCGATTGGCTTCTCGATACTGAGCGTCATTCCTGTAGTGCAATCCGAATGTGCTGCCGTTCACTACATATCATTACCTCTTCTAATACGACTCGAGAAAGCCTATTTAATAGCTAGACGTAGGAGGCGTCTTTGTTAAAAGCATCGCCTGCTGCCTTCGATACTAACGTCTTCCACCTGGGATCATAGCACTGATCGATCAGTACTGATCTCTAATGAATGCAGCAAAAATAGCTTTGAGGATGTAATAATTTTCGTCTCACCCAATAATATCAAGAGATATAACACTAAAATTCGAATTCCACCTGGCCGGTTCACATCTCATTGACGTACGAGCTTGTTGGTGACTTCGATAGAAAGTAACTGAATATTCATTGTATGGACAGAAGTGGGTCTTAATGGCTGGTCAAGTGGCGACTGTTCTCTGTACTCGACGTACCCGTAAAACCAATAGAATTTGCGTAATAACTGATCATTAGTATATATTAAATTAGATCATAAGTTATTCGATTTCTTAATCTGACAAAGAACGCAGTACTTCGATCCGAATCCTAGTAACAAATTCATTGACTAGGTTCTCACCTTGATTCGTCACTACCTTCTGCCATACTTCAGGCCAATCTATTGACTCCATTTTCAAAATCCAAAAAATTCACTCCATTTCAAAAATTTCCAGATCTGGTGTTTTTTCCAACCAGGCTTCAAGATCCTTTTCCACTGTCGTATTTGCAATTACGAATTTTATTTAATAGTGATCGGAATAAGTGTTCATTCGTCGTGAAGAATATGCAACGTGCAAAACAGGCACTCACTTAGGTTTTTTGAATCTTCACCATATGCGAGGTGGTATTTTTATAGAAAACGGATGACTTTGTTTCTCTTATCAGGTCTCTTCTGCTAGATAGCTTCGTTCACTCAATACAAATGAGCTACGTATAGGCACTTGTTAATTGTTTTGTGACTCTTCGCTGCTCCATGGTGTATAAGGCTCCACTAAATATAAATTGACTTTTTTGGATACAGATTCGTTTTGAATTCTGGGTTTAGCCGTATCTATTTATTCGTTTCATTGCTCTATGTTAACGTGAAGACATTACTTCTGTCACCGATGTCAAATCTCTATAAGAGCATGTCATTTTGGCTGTGTGTATGGTGCCGGGCGAGATGATGCTGAGAATCAATGGGTGGTCTTGTTTCCTTGTATGGTCCACTTAGTCCTGGTTTCTCGTAAAATTACATATGTTCAAGAAGTCTGACAATAGTCCGGTGCTTATAGCTTATTTTTTCGGTTAGCTAACGAGTGAAAATAGACATTTAGATAGCCGACCGGGGTGGGGCACGGTCTCCAGATCTATGGTTTCATCATTGATCTGCAAACCCTTTTTTACAATCCTTTTAGTTACAGAGTTGTGCACAGCACAACTATCTCAGGCTGATTCGGTAGCTTTTGATCTCGTTGAAAAAGGGAAACGAAGTAAGTATTGAGAATTCGCTCTATTCCTATTGAACCTCCATATTTGGAGCCTGTATTCTACATAAAATTAGATGCACGCCACAGCTAAATTGCAACAGAATTATTGAGAAGGAGAGCACTAAGCGGTGTATAAGAGCAGACAAACAGTAAGGAAATGCAGGAAAAAAGGATATTACAAGTCAATCGAATTTACTTACGTTCCAACTTAATTAACCCCGCTGGACTAACTTGGCGGATCGCAACAGTATAAAGGTAAGAAATTCTAACAGCAATGTATAGAAGAGCAGAGTTATAGTACGCCTTACAATATTAAATATTTATGATCCGAGAGGCAGTTGTCTAGTTATTTAAATGATGTGTCGAATGAGTCAGTATAGCCTAATACCCACGTATATGCTTACGCTATTTCTTACAGGTGAAAGCAATGTTACAACCGCGTAAGATATTTCATGTTACATTAATAATTCTTTCGTTTCTAGTGAAGTTGCGTACGTCAACCGAAAATAGAATGTTAAGAACAATAATGTATAAAGACTAAAATGTTATAAATTTGTCGTTTGATTATACTTCAGGTGACAAGACGTTAGATGGTTACCAGAAAAAGAAATACGTCTGTAAGCTGCTATTCATTTTTCTACTTGGTCATGATATTGACTTTGGACATATGGAGGCTGTCAATTTACTGGCCTCGAATAAATACTCGGAAAAGCAGATTGGCTACCTGTTCATATCGGTATGAATCTTTGTATCTCTAAATGAGTTGGTCGGACTGTTCAGCTGGCTTCTTGTAGTTTGGTAGATAAAATGTACAAAAAGCTATTTAATTCGTTCAGATTGTTTCTATTAATATATAATGCCAGAAATAACTTTTAGCTGAAGTACTCACATTCACATTACCTAAATTTGCCTAAATATGCCGTTACATTTTCCTAAAAAAATTTCTCTTCAATTCATTGTGGACTCTGTAATTCGACAGGTGCTTATATCAGCAGATAACGAGCTGATGAATCTAATCTGCCAATCGATCAAAAACGATCTCACATCTCGTAATCCGATTTTTGTTATGTTGGCCCTACAAACCATTGCCAACATCGGAACGAAGGAGATGGCCGAGGCGTTCGGAACAGAAATTCCACGTCTTCTTGTCAGTGCTGACTCGATCGATGTGGTAAAGCAGTCTGCTGCATTGTGCTTTCTCAAGCTATGTCGAACTATGCCATCATTAGCACCGCAGGGTGAACTCGTGAATCGAATTGTGCATTTGCTAAATGATTCGCATCTGGGTGTAGTAACGTCAGCTGCGAGTTTACTCGACACACTCATTCGGGGATCACCTGATGACTACAAGACAGTAGTACCGATCGCTGTATCCCGTCTTCAACGTATTCTAGCAGCGGCTCACACGGATCTACAAGACTATACATATTATTTTGTACCTGCACCCTGGCTCGCTATTAAATTGTTACGTATTTTGCAGAACTACCCGGCACCAGAAGATCAGACGTTAAGAGCTCGTCTAAACGAGTGCCTAGATACAATTCTTAATCGCGCAAGTGAGCCACCGAAATCGAAGAAAGTTCAACATTCGAATGCCAAAAATGCTGTCCTCTTTGAAGCGATCTTGCTCGTGATTCACATGGATTCAATGGGCGCCGTGTCTGATCCGACACTCTTAGTTCGCGTCTGTAACCAGCTGGGTACGTTTCTGGCACATAGAGAGACAAACCTTCGTTATCTAGCCCTCGAGTCTATGTGTCTATTAGCGGCAAGCGAGTACTCGCATGAAGCTGTCAAGAAGCATCAGGATACTGTTATTGTTGCACTGAAAACAGAACGTGATGTCTCGGTCCGCCAGAGAGCTGTTGATCTCCTTTACGCGATGTGTGACAAGAGTAATGCAAGGGAGATCGTTGCCGAGATGTTGGCTTATCTTGAGACAGCCGATTATTCAATACGAGAAGAGATGGTTCTCAAAGTCGCTATCCTTGCTGAAAAGTATGCTAGCGATTACACGTGGTACGTCGACGTAATTCTGAGACTAATTCGAACGGCCGGTGACCACGTGGGCGAGGAAGTGTGGTATCGCGTAGTTCAAATTGTTATTAACAGGGAAGATGTGCAGGGCTATGCTGCCAAGACCGTTTTTGAAGCTTTACAAGCCTCTGCGTGTCACGAGAACATGGTTAAGGTAGCCGGATATGTTCTTGGCGAGTTCGGCAATCTAATTGCTGGCGACGCCAGGTCTAGCCCAGCTGTACAGTTCCGTCTCCTTCATTCGAAATATCATCTTTGTAGCCCGGGCACACGGGCCCTATTGCTTACAACGTTCGTGAAGTTCATTAATCTCTTTTCGGAAATTAAACCCGACATTCAAGCAGTGTTGCAAGCCGACTCGAATTCTCGCTCGGCTGATGTGGAACTACAGCAGCGCACATCAGAATATCTAAGTCTTTCACAGAAGGTATCTTCCGACGTGCTGGCTACGGTTCTTGAAGAGATGCCTCCATTTCCCGAAAGGGAAAGCTCTATTCTTGCTACGTTGCGTAAAAAGAAGCCAGTTCCTGGCGTAGAAAACGAAAAAGAAAGGGCTACAAGGCCGATACTGCAGGCGGTTACAAACAGCGGCGACTCTGGGTCCCTTGTAGCTACCAACGGCGGGACGAATGGCACTAATGGAAGTGAAATCGACCTTCTCGGAATCGGGACCAGCCCGGTCAAATCTGTCGACAACGATCAACAGCAAAATCCGAACATTGATTTTCTATCCGACGAATTCGGAGCCCCAGCACCTGCTAAATCAGTAACGTCCACATCGATGGGAAACGCCGAGGAAAACCTTAGGAAGATGATATTCAAAAGCAATGGCGTACTGTTCGAAAATGAGCTAATTCAAATTGGAGTGAAAGCAGAGTACCGTGGCCACATGGGACGAGTGTCCCTGTTCTACGGTAACAAATCAACCTCTATGCCATTTCAGTGTTTTACAGCTACCGTAATCCCACCATCAGAGCCAAAACTCTTAATACAAAGCAATCCTGTTGACAGCACCATTGGACCTAAGGACCAGGTATAATCAATTATAACATTCTGTAGCTGATCAATTTTATTCTTTGATGACGTGCACAAATAAATAAAAACATCTCTCTGTTGGAATAACGAATTCGCTTATCAGTTAAATATCAATAAATTCAATATTGCTAATGAATTGCCATTTATAGGTTCAGCAACAGTTGCAAGTTGAAATCGTAGAACCCTTTTCGGCAGCAGATCTACCTCTGTTGAACTTGAATTTCACGCACAGCGGGCAGAACGTGACACACCAAATGAAGATTCCTGTTTATCCAAACAAATTCTTTGAGAAAACATCTATGGCTGCCGATATTTTTTTCTGCCGGTGGAAGGCACTCGGAAGTCCCGCTCAGGAGCAACAAGTTGTTTTCAAAGCCGCGCAAGTAAGCATTATCCTATCGATTGATGTGTGTACAGTATATTACTCACGTAACAGTAACTAGTACTTACTAAATTTGTTGAATCCATACGAGCTTCAGAATCAGGTTTGGAAAACATCCTATCAGAAGTAGGCATAGTTTCTGACTTTGCATACTTCTTAAAAAAATTCCTTTGTTAGCGGAAGTAGGGCTACTATGACTGAAAGATAACTGTCTTAGCGAGGATATATAAAGCAGACGAATAGTATTTTACTGAACACGCAGATAGCAGATGTTCTAAATGTTTTAAGTCCATTACGCGTTTCTTTCGATTTTCTTTTATATAGTCGATGGACTCTGCGGCACTTCGTGCCAAATTGGATGGCTTTGGTTATGAGGTGATTCCCAACATAGATCCTAACGGCGATAATTTTGTTGGAGCTGCCATTCTGCACACGAAGATGGGTCAAGTTGGGTGTCTTCTTCGTCTCGAGCCTAACCGACAAGCCGGCATGTATCGCCTTACATCAAGGACATCAAAGGACAAGCTCTCGCATATCATAGTCAGTCTTCTTCAACCAAACTTGTGAGACGAAATCACTACTAGAAATTAAACGGAAAATATGTACGATAGTGCCGGAAGTTTGCATGGTTCTGCAAATTAAGATGGATATCTCATGCTTGCTTAGATGAGAGCTTCTCTCCTAGTGTAAGAAGGATTTTCTGTATGTAAGCACATATGCTCTACTGTTTACAGCACAGTCTAGGAATGACAGGACTGGTTATTTGCCTTTTTTTCTCTAATGCAACAATGCCTTCTATGCAACACCCCTTTTACCCATCATTTGATAAGTTACATGCACATATACAGCTGCACGCACACATAAAAAGTTTGAAAATTGCTGCAGTCGCTCTCGGTTAGGATCTTGAGTCTGTGTGTTCAAAATGACAGCATGAATCTGGTCGAAGATCTGAACTGGAATTTGATCATATCATTTCTCATTTCTCTCACAGTAGTTTTTTTTACAGGTGGACTACTTCTGTATTAAACACCAGTAGATGTTTTTGCTGTTGCAAATGTACTGGCCTGACAGGCGTGAGTCCCTTTCAAAATATTATTCTGAATAGAATTCTCTCTATTTTTATTTATCGATGGACACAATCTTTGTCTATAGAAATTGCATCTTTATTTAATCTAAATGTGTTTGATAAAAATAGCGGCGAGCTCATTTACTTACTCGTCACCTATTGTCCGTGTTATAATGATAACATTACAGTAATAGTGTTTATATATATATACTTATGTATCTGGTAATTATGGATTTATCTATTTTCCTATTACTATTTCTATTGTTGATGTTAGTACTATCATAAGTCCTTATGCTGCTTCTGACATTAGCCGACTGAACATATATAATGGTAAGCTCAAACGAGTTAAGGTAATGTTGTTCAATACCTTCTACGAACAAACAGTGTTTAAAAAACTCACGTTGCGCAGTTGTTTGGCAAAAAAAGACGGGGTGATAAATAAATTTAAATAGAGCCAGTGTAGGAGATGGATGGAACGTTCGACATCTCGTCGTAGATACACCCACCCTATAAGTGAATGTAGCCAAACATGTGTATGTTCAAACTCAGCAATGTTTAGGCATTGTAAACTAAAGTACCTTGAAAGTTAGTTCTAATTAGGAAAGAACGTTAGAGAAAGCAAATCTAGCTTAGAAGGAAGTCAAGTTTTTACGTGTTATTTAACGTGACTATATTTACAACTGCGACGATATTCTATGCCGATGTCAAAGCTAAAGATGAGAAAAACGAGTAAGGCATTTTTGATATATACTTATACATTCATACATTTATATAAAACTCACAGCCTTATATTTGAACTACTGCAGGATGTGTAAGAAAATATGCAACGTACTTCTTCGCTCAGAAAGTGGCGTGTATGTAGAGAAAAAAAGAAGGTATACAGATATAGCCACGTGCAATGATGTATAATGAACATGCGCTGTTCGTTTATAATTTAGCTATTGACGTGTAACGTTAACGATTTTGGTTAGCCCGAAAGAAGCGACATAAGAAACTACGATGGAGATATCGAACAAAATAAGTACGTTTCAGCTAGATTACTAAGTGTTTCAAAAATCATACATACGGTTGTCAGGTAAGAAAAATGGAAGGCTAATTGACAAAACAGCACGAACATGGTGCACAAAGATTTACTATTACAAATACTACTAACTAGACGGAAAGAGAGAGCGAAAATGGTAAAGTTAATGATGTATTTTCAAATAAAAATTAATACTCTATTTATTATGGACCGTAGTTATTCTTATCAATATCAAAACACGATTCTGATATTTATACTTTGTTTTCTATTATGAGCAACTGATCTGGAAAAGTTTTACTTGGCCTTCAATTAATCTGAAAGCTTAATTCGTAGGCTAGATCTGGCTATATATTTATTCTAAAGTCGACAGATTCAATAACTTTGGGTTAAAGAATTTTAATATACAAATTCGTATTTTACAGAATGTGCCCTTTAGACTTAGCCAAACTTTACTTTTCCCGAATTATCTCTAGTCCTACAAATCCTTAAAACGACTTGGATCGCTTCAATTGAAGGTTACCTTAGTCGCATCGACTGTAGGGGACAAAGAGCAGGTCCTTCACTAGTTTCGAAGCTAGCAGGTAACTAAGATGGCTACTATGCTTTTAGAAATTGAAAATAGTTTAATACACCGGAAATAAGTAAAAGTCGCACCATTGAGAAATTCCAGTTATCCTTTATATTTTTCTATATGACTAATGTGATTCCACTCAGTAGGATGTCTAGGCATCATTTCGCGCTAACGAGTTGTAGGGCAGATATATGAAAAATCCGTTTCGAGTTATAAATCTTTATTATATAATACTTTGTGCTTTACGTGATTTTTATACTTTACACTTCTGCAGCATTATAAATAAAATAAATTATTAAATTGGAGCTAGAATTTAAAGGTTTCTCGAACCACCTAACTTCAAGATAGAATATAATATATAATATTATAATAATATAGATATATGTAAATAATAATAATATAAAAAAAATAGAAGTTCTACACAAGTTTATTCAAAGTGCAAAAAAATATGCGGGGGTTGAATAACCCTTGCATGGTTTCTTTTCTCTTTGAACACGTCGAACAATTGAAAATTATTTTGTTAATTAGAAGTTGCCTATGGGATTAAAAACGAGCTTAGTAAGGAGATAAAAAAAAAAGCGTTTATCAATTAAAACTTCATTACTTGCAGTTAAAATTTCCTAAAATAAAAAATTAATCTAGTTTTTATCCGTTCGAACGTACTGCCATAGGACTCCGTCCTATGGCAGTACGTTCACCGTCTAGAAATTAATACGCATGATTTATTTCACCCTACAGCACTTAGAAAAGCTTCAAAACATGTGTTCATTAAACGTGGGTTCATTTTTAACTTAAATCCGTAAGCCAACTGGACTCGCGTACGTATCTTGTAATTCTGCAGAAGTTTAGAGATGTCGTTGCAAGCGTTATTTTATTATTGGACGGTATTCTGCATCGTTGTATGAAAGCGATAAAGTATACCAATAAAATAGATTTAATTCGGCCAGCTTCTCTTACTATATATGCCTACCCGTCTTTTGCGCAGTCTGATATATGTTTGCAAAATGAAGCAGTTAAATTAAGATTATTTTCGAAATTAAGCTTCCAACACAAAAGTAAAGCATCAGACAATAGCTCAAAGAAGAAAAAGCTCTCTGTCCTGGCTGCAAAAATGAGCGTTAACTGATGATCACAGAACGGGAAGAAGTGGTCAGGGCGTACCGCGCTAGTGAGAACACTTGATTTGATAACTTGTTGTTCGTAAAGTGCGCTAAAAATTTTGCTTTTTGCTGCATAGTAGGTGAACGATCCGACAAAAGCACGATGCGACTAGTGTAAAAACAAGGAAGCTCCAAATTTCATTGAAGTAAGAGAAAAAGAGATGTTTTTCTGATGATCTTGAAATCTGGGATTAAAAACTGAAGATCATCTCAATGAAAGTTGCAAGATCTAGCTGAGTCTCATTCAAAGCCGATTTAAAATTAACCTTTGAAATGCGACAGAGCATGTTATATCACTACTTTTTACCGATTATTTTCTCATGCATACAAATGTTGATGTCGTCGCTATATATCAAGCACCCTTTTCCCTTGTTTGTCAACTATGAAACTTACTTAGCTCGAATAGAGTAAAAAAATATATTGATTGAAGAAAAGTCCATTTACCAACATACGCTTATAAAAAGTCTGAGACAATTGAACTGTGGTAAGCATTTGCCAAATGAAAAATCCCAAGAAGAACTGAAATCATTAAACGCAACCCAAGTTGGTGACGAAACAATACAATTCTGTCTATGCAAAAAATACAAACATAAAGCAGATTATCTCATTCCAGCATGTCTAACAATAAATAAACATTGATCTTTGTTGACTTTGAATAGTTTCTGCGCTAAAAAGCCCATTAAAATTTCATCGTTGTTTAAATATAATTTCTACACTTCAAAAACAGTTACCGTGCCGTTTCATAGGTCTATTGGAGAAACCCCAGAAATTCCAGAGAGACCTAACCCGGCTAGACTTATTTAGTGAGGGCAAGTCCTTGCTGCTGTACCTAAAAGGTGAATCCGAGAACTTCTTCACAGAGCAAAAATAGTGGGAAATATTAGAAATAAAAACTTAAAAGTTTAGGCAGTTCGTATTCTTTTCCTTCGATAAGAAAATAAGACAACTATCATGTCTGTTTTTAAACAGTACTTTTATAAACTTATTTACGTTGAGCATGTGAAAAATGTATGATTATGTTATTTATGGAAGCCACGTATTCGCGTTGCGACAATTCGAGAGATTCGAGTAAGCGTTTATGATTATTGCGTGGGATGGACAAGGAGAATTGATACAACAAGAAATCAGAAAGCACAACATGACTCAATTCCAATGGATTATTTGCGGGTCAAATGGACGCATGTATTTATATATCCCAAACAGTATAAAGTTGGCGCTCTTGGTTTTGAAAATCGGCTTTACTAGCAGCGAATGAAAATAGTACACATAAGGATTAACGACAAAATGAAAGCCTATCCAAACTTTCAAAACCTTTTCAGAGACATACGACTGGCCAAAGTGATTTCTCTTTTGGAGCAAAGACCACTCTAAACTTTTATGGACGATTACCGTCCATTCGAAGCATTATGAAAATTCTTGACAAAAGCTATTCTGAGACCTACCATTACTCGTGGTCCATAATACTCAGACGTCTGTATTCCACAGAAGTTATGAAAGCTGTCGGGCAGAGTATATGTCAGTTGACTGTCTGCTTTTGACAGAGGCTACAAAAGGACATCCTTGTGATTTAAGTAATCGATTTATCTAGCGAATATCGCAGAGTGTGAATGAAATTGTTTGTTTGTGCACAACAAAAGCTTCCCTTATACACGGGCATGTCGTCTGTAAAATAGGTTTTAAAAAAACTAATACGACAATTTTGTGCTTTTATTAAGTGTTAATGAACCTTTTAGTTAAACACGTTAATTTAACCCAATTAAAGATCCTCATTACGATTTGTATTCGACTTAAGAAGCTTACCTTATTTATCTGTGCTTATAGACTTATATAGACTGCTTATATCTGAGACCCTAGTGAATGTCCATGGGCACAATCGCAAAGTGCAAGCAAAAGCCTAAGTGGACCTTATATTTGTGCAGGCAACCTGAATGCAAGTTGGTATTTGTATATACAAGATATACATTTTTCTACTAGCGAATCTGATGCTTTCCGTCTAATTGAAATGTCTTCAGTCAACGATGTAAGACGAAATGACATTACTCGTTTATATACACAAAAAGATACATTCTTCCCAAGACCATGAACTTACTTACGTAATTTTACAAAAGCATGACTTGTACAATAATCGCATCAGTAAGAATGCCTCCACACGTTTAGAGGCACAAGCAACTATGATGATAAATGTAAAAACCTATACCAGTTGCAACATTAAAGGAATCATTTGCCTCCAGAAACACTGCCTCCTTTTTGCCGCTAGAGTAACAAAAAAAAAATAGCAATAGGATAGTACATGATGGGTATGATTTTATGATGATAGTATGATCTTATCATACTATAGAAATAAAACACGAAAAAAACACAAACAATTTATTCCAAAGTGTTTGTAGCAAACAGTAGAAATCAATTGCTTATTGAATATGTGAATAAAAAAGTGCCTTGTTTTTGTACCTTTATTTTACAAGTGAATGATGCTTAATGCGAGATGCTTAATATAAATATCAAATGATATACAATGTTTCATGAGAACGTCAATAAGTTTATCAAAGTCTTGCTGTGAGGACCTGATTCTTATCTACTTTTGGCAAAAATCCAATCTATGGTACATATGCATTTACTAATTATTTTTCATCTAATTATTTTTATCATGTTTACCACTGAAAAATAGGATCGTGGAGAAATTAGAAAACAATATAGCTAAAGAGACCATACCGACCACAGTAATACAATGCGCTAGCCGAGTTGGAATAATTTCTACAACTTTTATATTGAAGTTGCTTAGCAACTAGAGTTGTGGATGTATGTCACATTAATTTCTTGATGCAATAATTATACATGCTCATAAATAGGACTATTAGTTGTTGCTAAATTTAATAAAATATAGTAATGGCCATTATTAGCAGTTGTACACCTGTCGCCAATACTCTCTTATGTTCGCAGGCAGAGAAGAATTTCTTACCACCGAACTGTAGTTTGTCTAGATCTTTAAGAATCCAAAAAACTATGAATGCTAGTACAAACTTTTGCTAGGGAATGGAGATTAGTTAAATTAAAAAAAAATTGTAACGTAGAGTTTCGTTGATCTTATGAATACTCTGGCATTGCAAAATTGGATATCATGACATAGCCCTGATTTCGGAACAAATCTAATACAAATGAGATCCAGATAAAGGTTTTGCAAACTGGTACACACCGTGACCAACCAATTTCGGTACGAAACAGATAAAGTAGCTGTGAAGAGACGCTGACTTTACTAAAGGAGGGCGCTTCGGGTATAATCTTTTTCATCAAGGTATCAACGTCTGCTTAATCGCGTCTAGATATAATACCACTACTGATAAATGCCTAAAAAAGAGTTCAGTAAACTTTGCGTATACCGAGTTCAATTCGTTTTATCCCTTCGCATATTCATCGCGTCATTTTAATGCTAGCCCAACATATTATTACAAGTGGATTCAATATATATATATATATATATATATTTATTCTACAGCAAGAATCTCTAAAGTTATCCCTCCGGCGCCAAGTCTATATATCCTTCTGTTAATAAAGTAGCCGAACACTGTATTTCTCCGTAGTGTATCGAAAGATGCCATCCAGTTAGTCAAATACCAAAGTTCTTAAAAGTTCTCTATTAAAGTTTCTGCAAGAAATACGCACACGTACCTCACCGTGTCTTTGATAAGATTCTTTGATTGACTTGGGTGAACTGCTGGAAAAAAGAACCCAAAATTACCCCAGAAAAAAGATATAACGCTGACTATGCTGGCATGTGCACTACACGAACGTCTTAGGCGATTGGATTGCGTGACAGGTTCATTGAACAGAAGCTACAGGCAGTAATGGCAACGGTGTGATATTATTATCTTCTAAATTTAATAGCTTTTATCTGTATAAGTGATCAATATATCTAGCAGTAAACCGAAACCCTTTTATTAAAAAAAGCAAGATAAAGCATCGCTACTTGACAAGTGGGGGGATAGTTATGAAAGAGACGTGCAATAAGCCAAGTAAAAAACTTATAGATGGATTTGGCGTTCAATCAAATATAATATTTTCGGCAATAGTCTTTCAAAGGTACTTGTCCTTTAAACATAGTTTTTTTTTTTCACTATACATGATTTTTGTAGTTTACAGTTTGATTAGATGCTCTAAGAAAAAGGCTATAACGCTTTATATGCTGTTACTGAAATCGTTACATATATCGGGAACGTGGTCAGTGTTTATGAATTGTTGCGCTGTGAATCGTATTTTCTATACAAAACATAACACATTTTTACTCGGTTCTAAGAGCCGAATTCTATCAGTTTTTGTCACATAACAAACAAAGCGGAGATTTATGAACATGATAAACTACGAGGACCGCGCGACTGCTGATGTAAACATGTTTCTCACTTACCTTGCACTAGGCACTTTATGTAACCTTTTATATAATATTGATACTAGCGAAATATATGAACCTGACTCTTGGTAAATTTTCTTGCAACAAGTTTTTTTCATAATAAGCGAGTTTAGCGCTTCCGTCTGGCAGATGCTGATCGTATTCGACTTAACCGTGTATCAAGCAGGTAATTGGCAATTACCTCAAAAGCGTCCTATCTAAAGACTAACTTTTAGCTTAGCATTTTAAGAAATCTGGTGATTGATAACAACGCGATATTAATACCAGCTCTAGTCCTATACAATAGTTATACTAACCATGTGCGTTTACATTATATTAAGACAAGCCTATATATTTTAAAATCTTTTCTTCGCATTTATTTTCAACGAACCTTTCCCCTGTCTATGTAACAAAATAGCCAGCGACAGTTTTCCAGTTAGGTAATATTCTCGCCCAGGATTTTTTACCAACTTTACAACTATCCTCTTCTTTGCGCTCTTTCCAGCAACTCCGATTACTAGTTTAATATTATTTCCAAGAAAGCGCGTCATTCCTGGCTAACTTTTAACATCGAACGCAAACTGAAGATCACATTTTGAGCACCCAATGCGGCAGCCATTCACATCTGTCTCTTTCATTAGACTAACAATTCATCATGTTCTCTTTAATGTCACTAAAATATTGCAGGTCATCTTCATGTGCTTTTGTTTACCTTGAACTTTTAATATTAGTGGGACACAACATATAATCGGTCACGTTATTTAACTACGCCGTTAGAAGTTAGAAATTATTTACTGACGAATGGTTCTTGAGTCTTTTTTGTTGCGGCAATACATTTTTCGAAGAGAAGAATTGATCTATTTTTATAGTGAAAAGTGAAATCCCAAATCATTAGAGTAAATACGGTTTCACTGTAGTGTGTCAAGCAGCAGAAATAGAAAAAATATATGTATAAACTAGCATAAAAGAACAAACAATCGATTCCGTCGGCCTTTGAAGGTAACTTAGTATATGTAAGTACCAAGTCCAGCTTAACCAACACTAAAGGACAAAAGTACTTTATAACACTTATAAAGGGAAAGCGTACTTGAAGAAACATTTTAAACATGCCTACACGATGTCGTAAGTGAACGAGAATTAGCTTCGCTTCGTCTGACCGTAAAAATATATCTTTTTAATCCCTATAGTAAACGTTACTCCTTGACAAAATGTTTATTTGATTTTATAGATCTTTTCTGATTATCACATCCATCGCTGAACACACCTCGGAGCAACAATTTATTTGTACGCATTAATAGAAAAAGTTGTAAAAAAAAATATGGCTACTTTGAGTCATTTAACTCCAAATGCATCGTTCCTTGTCGCTCCCTCCTAGCTTGAACTGAATAAATTTTATACTATTCGCTTGCACGACATTATCATCACTGTAATAGATTTTTCGCAACCTACTCGACTACTAACGTCACTAAATTGGTTTCTCTACACGATCCTCACTTCCAAACGTTTTCAATATTTGTTTACAAGTCCGTGTTAGCAGTACATAAGCGCTGGACAGCAACTCTAAGTCATGTCTGGCTATAGAGTTACTCGTTTATTTTTTTGCGATGAATATACGGAACATGGAGTTGGGGAAGCCGGTTGAAGTTGTTTTCTTGCCTTTCAACAGATTTGTACGATTGCGTTCCACGTCATAATTTACGCACGTATTCTTGGGCTTGCCCCTATAGTACTTGGCCGCACCCGGCGGTCAGACCCGTTCAGAATGAATGAATAAGGCCATTTTCTTTTTATCGTGAGTCTCGTCATAATGAAGAGTACTTAGAAATGAGCGTAAGAGACAAAATCTCATCGGCCAGAATTCATGATTTCGGAAGCCCGTCGACGTGCGCTTTCGAATGCAGACAGGATATCGCTGAATACCTTATCGGATTTCTGCGCGGCATCCACACGAAAATGAATACCGGTGCGTCGATAATAATCAATAAGCGGCGATGTTTTAGCGTGATACGAAGCTAAACGGGTCTTAAGAGCGTCAACATTGTCGTCTGATCGGCGAACCAGCGGCTCTCCCGTTATGTCGTCCTTCATCGGTTCCTGCAATTTATCATTCATATTCAATTGTTAATTGAGAGGAACCCTTTTCCCATTTTATAAACTAAAAATTTTGTTAGTGTTTAGCTTACGTCACAGCTGAAAAGCAGAAAATGCGTTTGGCACGAAACGAAGGCACGCAAGTCGACAAGTTCAGTGCTCCGGCTTTCATTTAAAACAATTATTCCGTAAATCTTTCGAGGAAAAGAAATCTTTATGAGATTTCATTGATATCAAAATTAACATCAGAGAAATTCGTGTCTAAAATAACATATTAATTCGATAACATTTGTATATGTATATGGTAGTGTCTTCAAGAAGCACCATACTGCTCTGATTAACGGAAATTTATCAGGTATTAACAGCAAAGAAAAGCCATAGAGTCACATGCATATTTGTAATTACTTCCGTCAATTTATTTTGAACGCAATCTACATGTTATAGGCTTATAGTTGCGATCAAAATAGCCTTTGAAGATCATAACTTACTTCCCACCCTAAAGCAAAACTATTTCTTTCTTACAGCGTCCAATAGTATACATACACAGGCGTTTCCAATAAGGTGGGCAAGATTATGTAGTTAAAGATGAAACGTGATTAGAAATTACCCCAGGAGGATATTATCCAAAAGATATTATCCCAGGAGGTTGTGATCATTACCAAATACAGATGGCCCGATAAATATACGAATTATTATTGTAACAGGCATAAGAAATTAGTACTGATACGGACAGGCGCACACATTACTTAGCGCCCTTTTTCATCAGCCGATAAAATTTTACCGCCACTTCCTTCAATCTCGATCAGTAATTACAAGATATACGCAATAAGAATAAAATTGTCTACCCAAACCCACGATGGAGAACTGTAACAAATAAAACTGTGAATAGAAATAGGTTCATTACGAACCGCACCACTTATTTATAACATCAGATTTATTATTTTATTCTTTGCTCATAATCCGGATTCCATATATACGCAGGACGCTATCCAAGATCATCTTGTTACTTGTCTCAGTCTTTGCAAACGTCAAGTAAAGCCGAATGGGCTGTGGACCTAAACACATTGCACACTTCTCGTACTACCGTGCTTGCAGCCATTCGATCAGATGGCTTCCGTTCTTTCGAAACATTGCTTCGCTTGTCCAGTACCACTATGCAAATATTTTTTTGTATATAATAATAATAAATAAAAAAAATGATTTTTACTTTTGGATTTTTCACTGCCTCTCAATCTTTGTTGAGATACATGCCCAGTAAGGGCATTGCCCTCCGTCTTCTGCCGTATAATTATAACTCTATCAGAAATAAGACGTGTATTATCATTACCCGATTAACGGCGTAGTTTCTAAAAGGTTCGTAGCAGCGACAAAATTTGCGGTTGACCAAACCTATAGAAATACCCGAAACACGATACGGGTTGGCTATCCGCACAAAAGCTATTTTCTGACCAAATAAAAAAAAAACTCAGTCAGAAGGGGGCCGAATCGCCGCAAAAAGCTTTCCACTCTTAGAGCAATAGTTGGCACCCGGAGGTCTTCGAGTCAAAGACGACAACGAAACCTTTTTGATCATTGGTACCGATGGTCAAGCACAGAAATTCTTTATGGGCAATTAATATTTATAATCAATAAATGTGGAATATACGCATATAAAATACGATCAACTTCACTATATTCATCTATGTCAGGCAGGAATTATAGCGTAATGGATATGAATGAACAAGAGGACGTCCTATAATAATGCACAGTTTTTGCATTAAGTAGAAACCATGAAAACGCAACGTGCTCCAGACAATTGCATATAAACCATAATATGCTTGTAGTTGTAAAACAATAAACATGGTAACCTATCGTGCTAGAGAAAACTGGCAACCTGATCTGCCTAAAGCGCAGGTGAAATCATGTACATGGAGCTGATGTTTTTGCCAACTCACGTTCGTACCTTAACCTTTCTAGTGCCAGTTTCGGTAAGTTGATAGATGCTCACATGTTCATATGATTACGGCAGCAATGCATTACACTGGTGGAGTGCACCGAGCAATATGTCATTCAACCAAGCCTCGAAGTAAAGATGGATGAAACAGCAACCCCTACATATGAATGCCAGATTACTTTAAGGTTAGAAAAAAAGTTTGTCGTATGAAGCGTTTTCACAAGGATTTTACTTAATTACAAAAAAGGAGATGGAACTTTTTGCCTTTTCCTCAATACGGCAGATAGTACACAGCACAACAGCAGGCAATTGCAGCCTGGTGTACCGGCTAGGCCGCAATGAACGACAACGATAAGAATAGTATTAATAATTAGGTCACAACAGCGCACGCTAGTTTTTACCCACCCATACTTGTAGGAAAACCGTATGAAGCTCTCGATATGTGGGTATATATAGTAGATATAATATTTAGCTATTATAGCTTGATGATTTCGCCACCTTCCGAAAATCTACGCATAAGCTTTAAGCTCGAAGTGCTGACATACAAATAAAGATGCATGATCACTTTGTTAGCCCAGTACTAACCAAGGCTTCGTTGAAATTCACTTACATAAACTGATAAAAAGCCTTTTCATACGTTGTATGTGTACTTAGCGATATTGCTTGGGTCCACAGAAATAATGAGATTTTTTTTACTTTTGGCGGTACGTCACCACGTCACAATTGATATTAAGACCCTTCATTGAATGGCGAATAAAAGATAATCATGTTCTATACGGCATAGCCGCGTAAATCCCTTGGGAAGAACATTAGAAGGACTAAACCCATCTGTCCTTAAAAGCTCGACAATTTCATGTAATCAAGGTTGAATTTGGATAAACGAATTTGAACTACATGCAAGAGCCTTAGTTGACTGCAGCCGCCTATATCTTCTATATATTAAATATATTCCAATAAATATAAACTGTCTTTAAAAAGCCAAAAGCTTTGACTGATCTTTTAATATTAGTGTGTGAGTGACAACCAGATCGCGTGATAGAAATAAGATAACTTTCTATCTTATATGCTAAATACCTCTGAATCGTATTTATGCTTTGTCCCTTAAGCAAATGCGCATTCGCGCATGCAGGTACAACGCGTTATTATGTTATAAACGCGATCCATAGAAGTCATAACTTGTTCATGTATTGTACGCTGTGCTATAGGAAAGAGGCTAGTGAAGCGTGAAACACGTGACCTCATAATTATTATTAATGGATTTTGCTGAAACTGTAAATCTTCTCACCCCTGAGCACTCAACAATTGTGTGCTCAGGGGCATGAAGTGAACCGGAGGACTGCGTCTGTAGCTGTTATTAGAAAGCGGCGTTCCCATACCATAGCTATTAGGTACAATCGCGATTCGACTGTGATGCAACCCAACCAGGGACTGTTGTGTTAACACGTTGAGACGTCATGCCTATAAGGCAGCAGGCAATTAGGTCGCCGGCTATAATTTGACGTAAAAACTCTCAATATCAGTTTGTTTGCGTCTCTAACTGGTACTCAACTCGAGGAACCTACGGGCAATATACACAGTATGACACATGGCTTAATATCGAGAAATCCTACTAGTATAGTTAACTGATTGTTTGATTATTGCTATCGGCTAGTTACTCTCTTGTTGATTGCCGTCACAAGTTTACTTATTCTACTTATATGTTATAATTTAAAGCTTAAGGGCCTGTGGTGTGGTAGATTCATTATATGAACTCCAAAGGTGTATTATGTCGATCCCGATGATAACAATATCATTGATAAAACATATAGTGTTAGCTATTCCTATATGGAACAAGGATATCGAATGTAAATTTGGTCGTGAATTTGTGCTGCCATCGAAAAAAAATCGACACAAATGAATTGCTTTATAAAGCAACTTATATAACTCTGATTTGGTAGTATTTGGTACTTTGGCGAGCTGATACCAGAAATAGCTTGAATCAACTATTGCAAACTCGCCCTTTGACAGAACTACTGTCCTGTCCAACAATTTCTTTCGATTGGCTTTTCACGCTTAGTGGTCCTAAACCGTACCCTTTGTCCTTGTCTAACATTTAAAAAAAATTGTGTAGTTATTGCACCAAACTCATTTGATTTGTACCTAATTTTGCAATACATCTGAATTATTATAAATCATTATTACAATTTCAATGCTGTGTTCGCTACCTGGATTACGTTGAAAATGTAACTGGTACTGTGTAAATTAGACTGTGTGTTTTTGTTCATTATTAAATTGTAACTACATGTTTTGATTAATACGTTTGAAAATTAAATCACTACCGGCACAATTGCCTACTTAACTGCATTTAGAACGTGTCTAGACCTCGTAAACTTTCACTGAAGACACGTGTCACTTCAAATGTCCTTATGTAATTATGCATTATTTCCACAGAGTCGTTTTTCGATGATGGTTACATTAGAGCTTAAATTTTGAAGAACACGTTGGCAAGAAAACGCAAGATCAACCGATTGTTTTTGTTATTTTCACGCATTAATTCGCTAATCCAGCTTGATGGTAAGCAAGGAACACTCGAAGGCGAATAGGACTTCTATGTGTACCTATATCTACCTGTAATTTGCGGGACTGTCGCGGGCGGGAATAAACTGTCGCCATTTGTAAGCATATGTTACAGTCTGATTACTATCGATTAAATATTGGTAATTGAAATAAGAAATTTATAATTGGAACCTGCTGCCTTATGCCTATATGATTCAATTTTTTTTTGTTGCACGGCTTAAATTTTTTTAATTTTTCCGCCTGTCGACCTCACTAAAATACAGAATGCGTTAAAGAAATAACCCGGAAGAGTCAGGCTGTCCAGTTTTACCTCTCTATTTGCTCTGCTGTATACTAAACATATACAACGGGTCTGTCGCTCCCCAGAGTTTGCTTCGAATAACTTCTCTCGTTTCACTTAGGTAACGTTAATATTCATCGTTTTTGTGAAAGTTTTAAGCGCACGCCTGAGCAAGTGGAAGCTCATTCTCGAAAGTGCGACCTTCACGCGACCGGTCGACATTGCTCCTTCGGACCAGTTCACACACGTCCTATTTTAGCGACATGGCGAACCTAAATAGCAGCTGCTATGCTTCATCGTTGAGATAATCACACTGTGGTACTCGCATACAGAGAAAATAGAAACGAACGATTGCGCAGTCCCGTGTTCCTTGAACATGTATTAACAACTTGAGCTATACTGTTACATTGTAATCACATTCGCATTAATTAAAAACAACAATTTACGAATATGATTTTTCTTAGTATGTGATCTCCAAATATTTTAGAGAATTTAATGGCGTTTCTGCGACTAGTATGGAAGAAATATGGCAAACTCGACAGCGTTACCAACTAGCGAGCGCAATTCAAGTCTTCAGAACAGTATTTTTTTGAAAAAAAAAGTTCTCTCAGATACAAACTTTTAATTATAGTTTTCACTATAATCGGATTAAAACTACCCTCAAAAATAATCATAATTGTTGTGATTGTTGGGCAAGCCTGTACAGCAACCTAAGAGCTTTTTAGCTCTCGGTTCGCTCGTTAGATTACCTGATTCATGTGATAATGGCGGCGAAATAAAAAGGACAAACAAAAAGTTTTTTTTCTTTATGAAATATTCAATGATCCATTAAAAAGCTCTAATATTTTATATAGGTTCGCCAATTTAAGTGTAAAAATACAACGCAGAATATTCCTTAGTTGTAAATATTAAGCAGAAGCTATTATGAGATCTCCCGGAATTCGTACCCATCTTCTCTTATATATATATGCTGTTTTGAATAGATAAAATATACAAATTATAACAAAAACGTGACCCGCATCACGAGTAAAGCCAAGACCTTCTAAGATGATAGATTGACTTCAACTCGAATTCCTTATGAAGGTGACACAATCGTAATCATAAATCGGATACGATCGGAGTTAGCTGTAGGAACAAGGGATGCCCAGGATACGGTATGGATATTAAGATTGGCTCCTCATATAGTAAAGATTCTCAAATTATCATCAAATTTCTGCCAGCCCAGTAGATCCTAGCTGGCTAACAATATAATATCTATAGTAGGCGATCTAAAATAATTTATTTATCGTATGTAGTGAAGGCGTTTTCATAGTACAGCACCAGTAATATTTATCTGAAGTACGCCTGTGCATTTAAGCGGCACACTACTCGAATATAATACTTGCCGTCGTTAGGTGACGTGCAAAAGACTGCCGTTCATGATCGTTGATAGTGAAGAAAGTGCTTGTTAAGCAAAAAAGCGGTCGATATTCAATTTTCCCTCGATTGGATATCAGTCCTTCTTCCGACTATTTTCCCCGACGCCAAGACTACATTGCGTCTCTAAGTTGCTAGACATCAGCTGCTAGAGACAATTTATTTAACAGTAGTCAACGCAACGTTAGATAAGCAATTTTCTATGACAAAAAATATATTTTTGCGGGTATTTAACAACAGCGTACTTTCCGTCAAACGTACATCAGTAAATAATATAATATGAATGTTTTTTTGTTACCTTAACACTGTCAGCTAGCACTACTATTACAAATTTCCCACGTACCTATATAAATATTTTGAGTTGATGTCCGATGCTGGTGTTCAGCGTTACTTCGGACGCTGGCTTGTCCCAACGAGACTTAAAGTATGTCTACTCCCGCCTACCTATGGCCTTCGTAACGTCTACAGAGTAAAGCGTAAGCCGAGTACATAATGGCTGTGGATATTTCGCTCGCTGCTGCAGAATGCAGCATCCATAGAATAAAATGAATCGAAGAAGAAAGATAATATACGTTTCGCTACTTTTTGTTTGATTAAAAGTACTCAGAATTTTCACATGCTTTACTTTTTAATTTGTATCGTATTTTCCAGACAACAGGTGCTCCTAACTGCGCTTGATAGCCTTGGATGGTGCGTTAGATTTAACCTTTTGTCGGCATGCCTAGAGTCTTAAATGGATAAATGATGCTAGATTCCACAGACAGCAATAGATACTCGTATACCGACAGAAAAACCCGATCGCCGCACGTGCTCACGGTACTGAACTTCTTCCATAAAATCATGTATTTTAGTAAAAAAAATAAAAAGCATGCTAACAGGAACTGTAAGAAGGTCAAGTGAGTAAAATTCGATGATATGGAATAGATACATCTCCTTGTTTAAACAGAAATCATATCATATAGCAAAACATGAAGTTACGGGATGAATCGACCAAGTACTTTTGCTAACATTATTATAATTACTATGCTAGTGCAACGAACTGCAATGGCAAAGTGATATGATGGGTAAATAGAATACGAATGTCAAACGAACGGGTAGCAAACATTTTAATGCACAAAAACGATCTAATGATAAGTGTTAAAAAGTCAAATAAAAGTGACCTTCGGTGGTGCAAACTCCTCATGGTAGCTTCGCCCGCTGGCCGGGTGTACCAGGCGACCGGTGATTCGGCGCACGAGCAGATTGTCGTCAATGTCGAAATCAATGACGGAATCCAGCTGAGTTTTGCGTCGCTCAAGTAGCTCATCGAGCTTTTGTGCCTGACTAACGGTGCGAGGGAAACCGTCAAGCAAGAAGCCATTGAGACATTCTGGTTTGTCCAAACTTTTCTCAATCATCGATACCACAAGTGAGTCTTCGACAAGTTTCCCTTCAGACATGATTGTCTTTAATCGTGAGCCAAGAACGGAGCCAGACGCGACCTCGGCGCGAAGTAGATCACCGGTAGATAGATGGCATACGTTGTATTCCGCTTTGAGACGTGGTGCCTGAGTGCCCTTTCCGGACCCGGGAGGGCCGAGCAACACTGCATTGATGCCTTTCTTGTACTGTTCATGCGGTTCGTAAGAGTTCCCGTAGAGAACTCCAGTGTCTTCGAACTTATACTTGTTTGCCTCCCCGTTGGGAGCCATTGGTGCTAAATTATTTTACAGAATAAAGTTGTGCCGAGACAACGACGACTAACGACGATAACGCGGTTGCACTTAACCCTTTTCGTTTTCAGTATACGATAGAAACTATCCTGAGCTCACGCAACGACTTGAGATTACTAATACAACGGAAATAATAGCACCCACGATTAGCACACAGGTATTTCACAGACTCTGACCTATATGGCAATCGAAGCGAATCTCTCTGAACGCCATAAGTCGAAAGTAGAGCCGGCTGGCTATGAGTAGCTGCTGCTCCCGCCGCTTTTACTCGCGCTGTTGAATCCAACTGGTGTACGGATCGCGCCACTGACGAGACGTCCGGAAGGAGAGGGCAAAACAATTGCATGTGATTAGCTAGCCACGCCATAGATCTACACAGGCTAATAACAGGCTACTTTTTAAATTGTTTGCCACACTTTGACATCAATAGAGGCAACGAATCTACCGGGAGATATTGGACTTGCTAGTGCAGATATCTGCTTTCAAAATACTAAGTTGTCAACTAAATTGCAGATACATCCGAAATTTGCGTCGAACGGGTCGTTGGGGGCAGTTTTTCCACGCTCGGTAAATATCAGCCATCGCCAACGCCAGTGTAAATCATAACCCTATCAGCTGATGTTCGAAATGACGGAGACGTTCGTTTCGCCAGTGGTAGTGGAGGATCGCCGGGTGGATTGAAACAAATGGTGTTTATTTGATTGACGAAAATGGGTGCCTGATTAGACAAAAAACAGTGATTAATAGCCAAGCGAATTTTAACAATGGGTGTCTTCAATTTAGATCTTGTAGAAGTCTAGAATTTCGAATGCAATAATTCGCTGACGTGTGAAAGTTGTTAAGTAGATCTACGTACTTAGTATCTCCATAGGCTTATAAATATTTTCCAAAAAAAGACTCTGTAGTTGGTAGATTTCTAATAGGCATCTCTCTTGTGATTTTTGTGTAGAAATTAAGTATATTCTGCTGGATTAGTCAATACAAACAAAAAAGGCAGCTTATCTGAGAGCGCTATGCATCTAACTTCTCGGTAGGTTTCTAAAATAGCGTAGTCCTTCCTGATTTCTCTCAAAATTTTCCTTTTTTTTTTAAGAACGTATACGCATTAATGCTTACATTGAGATAACCAAATAACTATATGACTGTTTATTTAAAAGTTTTACAATGTCCTCCATATGGGGGAGAACAGGGGCAAAGAGAGCCCGCTTCGACGTGGATATTGTCCTACTTCGACTTCGAGATGAATACATAAACCGCTGTATTTGCAAACAGGACTTCCCTTTAGCCGTTGTCCTCCAGCATCAATTATACGCACACTTCACTAACAGAACATTAGTGGACCGTCGCGTAGAACAGCTTATAGAGAGTGGACGTCTCCGAGCAGTTCAAATGGGTGACGCGGAAGATGAAACTGCACTCGTCGATTTCGAGGTAATAAATGAAAAGACACTGTTTTTTATTATCTTCAGTAAAGGTTTTGCATTATACTCAAATTATCGGGCAGCATATATATATATATATATGTATTGAAAATTTACATCAAAAGCTTGTTACCTTTACTTACAGAAAAACAATCAAAACCCGTAACAACGTTCTGTTTAACCGTATTGCTTCACAGGAATACCAAGAACATTGTTTATCATCAGCCAAGGATCAGTCACTCATGAAGAGATTTTTAAACTGCTTGAAAACTCATTTTTATATAGTGTTCACTCGGGAACAGCTGGAAAAGCATGACTTCTCAGAAAGACAGGTGTCGGATCTTATCCGCATGGGAGTTCTGTCATTGAGGACGATTGTAGGTGAGTAATGGTATAACAAAAGTAGCACAAGTTTTTCAGATTACTTTTTCCTGTCAATACATTAACTGGACAACGCGTTCAGATGCCTTTTCTTTTATCCAGGTAGCTAACGCATGATTTTTATACTGCATGTTCATACTTGAAATTTCCATCCATCCTAATTATTTTAGACCGTCACGGAACGCCGCTCTCGCTTACAGTTGGTACACATGAATATATATGAGAATATAAAATTTATGCGACTTGGATTCTATGATAGTTATATAACTTAATTCTAAGGGCTTTTCAATACTATTATGTATCTACATCTTAGGCTCGTATTGGCTAAGTATTCCGGGTGTTGGTGACTACGTGCGGCATCTTGAAACGGGTCGTAAGGCTCTCATACAGATTCTTAAAAGGACTAAATTCAAGCAGATTCTGCGAAGTGACCTTGAGCAAAAAAAGATAGCCCGTTCTCGTTTCAGCATGTCCTATCTCATCGATGATGCACTTGGCAAGGATCTTCTAGAACCCAGTGAAACGACCTTAGGATGTATGCTCACTCTATCAGATTGAACTATCTTGCCGATGTTTTTTGATGTTCACGGAACTGTATATCTCACAACTAGATGCCAATCTTATTTATAGAAATGCTATGCCGACCGACGACTGGTCAAAGACAACCTCAAATGCATGCTGTGCCTGCACTTGTTCTCACTTCTTTACTGCCCATAAAATAAAGTGGTGAATAATTTCGAATTAAAAAAACTAAATACACCTGAGAGATAAAGGAAACATACGAGCAAAAAAGTAAGTGCTTTACTAGCAGCTACCTTTTTGTGGACATAAAGTACTTTCGGCTTTACAGAAATATGACAACGAGAATGAAAGTTCTATCGACATCTGAGAAGATGTGCCCCCTGAAACGAATGCCTACAAATAGGGAATTAGAATATTTCTTATTTAATACAATGTTTGGAAATGTATAAAAGAAAGTCGTACGTTGATGACAACATCGTACTGCTTATCGTTATACTTTTTTTTTCGATGGGAGCGGAGTCGGAATAAAATTTTCTTACAATTCACTCATCATTAGAATCCCGTTTACTGAGATTTTCGAAAACATCGGAGAGTTTGTATTAGCAAATTGCTATTTCATTACCGCGATGTCTCCTCCTTTGCCATTAGAGATCTAAAAAGAGAATAAAACTTATCGAGGCTCTTTAACGCCACAAACATATGAAAAAGGAATGGCGGCAGCTCTCAACGCTACCTCTATGGTTCCTATGTAAACAAACTGTTTTATAAAACTACATATAGTAATAGCTGTGTTCGATAAAGTGACGAATAGATAATAAAAGGTTATTTGATTTTACAGATACATTGAACCACCGTTTTATGCCAATGCTCATAAGCAAGATTCCCGTTTTATACACAAAAATTATAAAAGTAAAGCTCGATGGTTTAAATTTCGTACTTGACTTTTCATTCTTCTTTAGGTAAGCATAAGAGGAATCAGCTTTTACTGAAGTGCCTATTAAAATGTTCTTATCATCCCAAGGCTTACTACGCTCATGGCCTTTCTCGAGAAATAGACATGTAAGATTCCAATAGTTCATATAAAATTCCATTCGTCGTAAGGCCCTCGCTAGTGATCATATTAGGCAAACATTTTACCAAGGATTTTTTCTAATTTCACTATTAGTAGCAAAGGCTATTCTCTTATATTGAGTGCCAACGTCCAATGACCCAGATATGGGCATCATGTGCCAGAATTGACCTACATACAAAAACGAATACTAATAGCAATATAGTGTGAAAGGCTCTGTTATGACGAAAGGAAAAATGCATTTCTACAGAACAAAAATCCATCAATCTCTAAACTATGCTTTAACAAGACGCCATAACATATTGCTTAGACATAAAATATTCCCTTTACTGATATTGTTAGGATATCGCCAAATCACTGTCTAACTTTAGTTTAAATAAAACGGAACTTTTGTATAAAAAGGAAAAGCAACACACACTTAATAGACTAATGGCTATTATTTTAACACTTCAATTTTTGAATGTTTAACATTTACTTGATGCAAAATGACGACACAAGAAAAGTGGATTAATACATGCCCACTTGTGGCTCATTTAATGGCCAGGTAATGGACAGCTGTTCTTCTGTTGACAGATTTCTTTCAGTATAAAAATAGTGCAATAAACATATTGGCCCAGGAGCGGAAAACGATAGCTGCGATGACCAGGAGTTTTTCATTTAGCCAGTCTTTTATGCATAACACTCTATTTCACTCAACGTCATGAAATCTCGGGTGAACGCTAAATCACTCAAATTCCTAACCTGTCGACCAGCCAATTACTATATTCAGCGTAACCTACTTTATGCTTTATTAAATTGAGGGATACTCAAATTAAGCGGTGAACGCAATTATTCTCATTTCCAAGATACAGAGAAGCAGTCGACATATATTGAATGTTTATCGTTGTCCGCATTCCCTAACCGCTCCTGGGCGCTGTCTATCGTTTCTTGAATCCGTATTTTTTTCGTTCGTAAAATAGATCCGTTTTAGAACTTCCGAGGTTGACAATTTTCGGACAGCCATCTCTGTCCTTCTCTTGAATCGTACACTCCTTACAGTAGTATGCGTCAGATACGCCAGGGCCGCCGCAGATCACGCACCTGAAAACCCAAGCTCTCATAAGCGATCAGTGTGGTTCCACTCTAATTTTGACATAGAATACAATTTAATATAAAACTTAGGCGATAGCTTAACGACAGAAGGCCGTCCGAGTGTAAAAATAGATAGTCATAGTAATATTAATAATAAACGACAAGTATAGTCGCCAGCAGGTTATGCAGTCCCCAATCAATTGATTTGAAAATACTACTAACTTAAAATTCTATATAAAATTGTCAGCGTAATCATAATGCTCTATGAACCGTTAACGGATGCTGTGTCCTTCATAATATATTCTTTTGGATATGTGCTGTTCAGTACCAAAAGCGAAAAATAATACTGGAAACTGGATTCGAGTATTTAGCAGGCTAATGCTTCCATCAGATCGAATAAAATATAGTTTTGTAAACAAGCGTGTTGCACATATGTGTACTCTGAAAATCTCGAATCAGCCATGCTCCATGTCCTAACATATTTCTAAATAAAATTCAAGTTATCCATTGGAAATGCCAGGCAGAATAAACGCGGTCAATTGAATTCACCTGCCCTGATATGATCCATAGTTGCACTCATCGCAGATACGCACAAGTGTGCATGGACGAACGTATGAGTCGCAGATTACACACTTTCCGTCGCATTTTTCACAAAGACGACCTATGGCTAAAAGATCAAAACAACACTGATTACTCAAATAGCATTGGATGTTAACGCAATGGCATTAACCACTTGAGAAGTCGGCTAAAATTTTTTATAATTATATTATTGCAGAAAAGTCGTACTGAATTAAATAGAAATTGAAAAACCCATTATGAAAGCCTGGGTACAGTAAGTAAGCCTAGGCCGATTCCTTTTTGTCTCGCAGCGATATACGTATATATAATTTCTCTTGACTCCACTAATGTTCCCGGTTTCGAAGTGCTCGAACAAGATGTAAATTATTAATATTAGGTTTACAGTAGCATCCGTAAAGGGACAAGTTTATCTAAGTGTAGCCTACCTCAGGTTCGCAAATAATACACCATCGGATCCATGCCGTACGGTAACAACAGTAGAATATAATTATCAAACAATTCCTGTTTTCTTCAGTTTTAGATGTACAACATGAAATCATGAAAATGCCTAAATATAGAGTCTAAGAATTGTTGAGTTCAAAAACTTTTATAGAACCGGGTGCCCATGAGTTTGAGAAATTTGTAATTTGGCGCGGAAGTCTGTTTAGAATAGGAATACCCCTCCCCACTTACCGACTCCAGCCTGTTTCCTGCAGAAAATCAAATCGGGATGATGTTTTGCCATTTTGTATGCTGCAAGCGCGACCTGGCGCCGAAGAAAAATACGATTTCATTCAACGCTGCCGAACGCAGTAGAACATCCGATCAATAAAACAGCCGAATTTGCGGAAGTTTGTTTACGTTTTTGAAAACTCTGTTTTGGCGGGCAGTTAAGCGGCTGAAACACAATTTACCCCAGTTTGATCTAAAAAATGTTGTGAGCTTTGACGTTCACTATTGTATTAAAGCCTCGCTTTTAGTCAGTCTGTAATGTATTGATTCTTAGTACGTGTTGAAATAAATCAATTTGAACTACCTGGAGTAATAATACTGTAGAACAGTGCATACAGTGTTTTATTTTATTGTACTGCCCTACATCCGTAAATATTACCCCTATGCATCGACGGTAACTTGACGGTTGGCTAAACAAACGATTGCGCTGTTGAGGGGTTCGAAGCTGATCGAATTGGTTCACGACTGAGGGCATTAAGTACCTGTGAGTAACTGATATAGACGTTATTGTAAAAAGGATGAGTGATGTTTACCCCCCCCCCCCCCCCAAAGACAGGTTACTAAAATGAAAAGCCGTCACTAATATACGTATTACCGTTACGTCGTGCTATAACAATAAAAATATACATTTTAAAAATCCATGTAGAATACCGTAATGAAATAAACATATCGATACGCTTACTCGTTTAATGATTCGTTTAAGTTCGGACAAACTAAGTCACCATCTATTCGCTTGTTTGCTGTTCTCAGTGCCATACAAACTTGTCATGATAATTAATTAAAGGTCAGTTACGATGCAATCTTTTGACCAAAACGCACAGTCTGCATTATTACCCGTTTTAAGCTTCCGATGCATACTAGAAAATCCTCAATAAAGGAAAATTTAAGAGGTTCGAAATTTGGCTCCATGAAAAGCTATTTCTGGGTCGTAGAGAAACTGGCAGCCATTTTTGAGGGGAGAGTATAATATCATTAATTGGGTCGTTTGAATGGGCTCAACGGTTAAACTTTGACTTCTTCTTCTTTCACTCCTATATCTTTTCAGCATTTTGGCTGTTTTGAACTTCTCTATCTTTAGGGCTTTCACTTGCTATCAGATCGATATTTAGTTCTGCTAGATTTTTTTGTATAAAGCACATCTGCGCCATACTTTTAGTTTATAGCTGCCAATCTTGCTTTGCATATGATTACTGTTAAGAAGTTTAATATATAACTTTCTAACAGTAATCATATATTTTAAAAATGGTTTAAGTATTAAATGGAAGTTGTAATTGCGGTGGATGGCAATTATCCTAATTCATTCCTAATTCATAATGAGGATCGCGAGTCTAACGCGTGAAAAAAGTTCATTGGATCATCTGCTCCCGTCCAACTACAGTCTGAGAAATAACTCTTGAGAAGTGGTTTTTAGACCGCCCATCCTTATTCATTGTGATTCAACAGAAACTTTTGACAACTGCGCATCAGGCCAGTTACGAAAATTATGAAACTGCGATATACGATTTTCCAAATATCAGTGCGCCATGTATCTATTCCAAAAAAATAGATTGCTGTCTCAGGCAAAAAATTAAAAAAAAACGATTTTCTGACCATCTTAGATTGTTTTTAGCCTATAGAATTTTAAATTAATAAATCATACGTAAATTAACTTAAATTTCTTAATAAAATTATGCAAACTCAATCTGTAGCGCCCATTGAAGAAATTGTACGTCAAGAGTTTATTAGCACATCAGTCGAGCATTTACAGAAAAGATAACATTTTTTTAGACTTAAAACGTTCAACAAAATAATTTATTCTGCTGTTTTTTACTCATAGATTCTTTAGAATCAAACGAGGTCTACAAAATCGTAGTCTACCGTGCCGTAATGCAATTGATTAACAAGAATATCATTATTACAGCGCCTATTAATAATTATATACCCTAACTGGTCTCCATTTCGCGACAGATAACGATCCTATTGATGGAGTGATACAAATTAGAAGTTTAGTCCGACAAAGCATCAGTGGGTGCTGCGGCGGCAGCGTAGCGTATAATGGACGCCGCAGGTTAGAGGTCAATATTAGTAAATCATGAAAAATATAATGTCGTTTCATTTAACAATTAAATAAAACAGGGAAGGATTGTCTGTAATCCTCTATGGAAAAAAGGAGATAGCTCTTAATAAAAAGATGCCAAATCTGAAGCTTTATTACTCTAAACAATAAACCTACAATTCATTCGCAGGAATGATCTCAACTAGAGAAAAAAACATGTTACTCCATCTATGAGCTGGATTCGTTTACTAACAGGCAGCGCGTCCTTGTTTCTGTAACTTAATTTTTAAACCAAGATTGCCTTTAAGGATCCTCTTCATGCACACTTTACTCATTTTATCAAATATCAAAGAAGGCCGATCCCTCAGTAAATCAATATCCAAAATTAGCTGGAATTCTTTCCGTCAGTTTTAATAAAGCATCGAAATGACTGTGTCAATACTAATCCGGGCCTGTCACCATCACTGCTCGTTGAGTCACGCGGAGCGCCGCTATATTATGTTATGAGCCTCCATCTGGCCTCAACATTGACGTCCGTTACAGCACAGTCGTTGTGTGTGTGTGTTGGCTGGGGATGATCGACTTGACATAAGACGTTGGCCATCGTTCTTACCTTCTCCAAATAATCAACGGGCGCCCGGATTCGAGAGACGATACCCGAATGATACCGTACTTTTCCTCTATAGTAGGAGGAAACCGGCATGGTTGTTTTTAGGTGTTTTGCCTCCTTGTTTCGATGTATAAATGTCATCGTTTGGCCGCCGTATTCAGTAGTATGCCGACCGGCCTACGTGCTCTATACTCACTTTCCATAGGAGCCACAACGCTCTTCATGCGTCGAATGAATGACTGATTGACAAATCAGCCATACTGACGATGGTGTGATGATTCTGCCCCGATTCATCTGAGAGGTGTACACCTTTAACGAAATTTACCTGTCGGTTTATCGGACGATAAAACGGTATCCAAAAAATCCAAAAGGTATGCGGGATCGCAATGCACCGGGTTGCGATCAACATATTATTTGGGATATTTTCTTTATTCAGGGGAGGAGGACTATTGGGTTTCCCGTGTCAGTGTGAACTAGAGTAGGAGTCCAGTGAAAAGTGTTATCTGAATGAAGCATCAGAAACGTGAGAGAGAGAGAAGCGAGACTTTATTGAGCCAAATATTGCCCCTGGAGCTTCTTGGCTAAGTTGCTTTCAAATCGTTATTCCAAGTCGAATAACCTAGAAAACGATTATTTATTATACAGCTGCATATTATAATGCTATGATTTCCTACAGACAAATGTGAACTAGCAATAATCGTCAATCACACGCTACATTAAATAAAGGCGTTCGTGTGTTGAAAGCTGTCAGTTTTTGGAAGAACGAAATCTTATTGGGTTTATCGCATATAAAATTGTTTTCTTGGCATCTAGAAATGTAACCTCAGAATCTGTTGTCACGGCTGTGCTTTGGGCCAGCCGAGCTGTTTGCGTTGTCTTCATCGGTATCAATTTCTTTTTACGTGATCATTGTTTAACTTTATGCTCCTAGTAGCAGGTTTAACCTAATCTAATAAAGATCTTTTTATAGACTGTAAAAGATATTTTGCTATTATAATTTACAATTCTAGCATGTGACCATGTAGTTTTAAGTACTAGTGATAATACAATTAAAATATATAATAAACGAACTTCATAAGGTTGAAAAAAAGTAATTTCTAGCGAAGGTCATACAATACCCGATTCTTGGAAAACTTCCAAAAAAATTCTAAGGAAAGATGTCCAATGAGAAATATAATTACGCCTAATTCAGATCACTCTTCACAATTTTTTTTACAACGAATACAAAAATTTGTCTCGTGCTTCGGGAGCAGTATCATTTCGAAAAAGCAAAAAATTTGGAAGAAAGGTTTGCTCATCTGCGAAAGGTTAGATTGGCCTCATGGCCTAAATATCAAAGTGATGTCTGTTACATTTGGGACAAGTGGCATGAGCTTTGTTAAAAAATACTTCTATAATCACACAGCTCTATATGAAATAAATCAATATAGACAAAAAATAAGGCAAGTCTATGATACTCTCAAAAATAAGTCGACAGTGTTGTTTTACCTGCGGGGTTTGAGCGCCCTGTACGTTACCAAGGTCGGTAAAACCACCAAATTATAAAAATAAAAACTATATCAGTCTCCACAGCATGCGATGCTTGGCAGTTTAAAAAACTGCGGCAGATATATGCCCACGTTTCTTATAGTAATCCCTTGACCGTTCACATTTGTAATAAGCATGACTTATCCTATACAATGTGCGACGTATTTAATTATTTCTGGGTTAGAAATTACTAGATACATCGCATCTGCTTCGGTAGATTAAAATCGGCGATTTGTTGTTATGTTATAATGGAGTGGTTAAGGATATGATCAAAGGGTTCGAGTACCAGCTAGCTGCAAGTACTCTGCAGGATCTTCAGCGGCGGCTTCGAGAGTTGACCAATTTTAAGTACAACGTTATTTTCCACGTAATGGGTTACGAGGAGCTTTTCTCAATCAATAAGTTTATGAGACTATTTCCAGATACGTTTAATCTACTAGTAGCGTACGCAATAGAGATCAAGATAAATTTTTGGTTTGATTGTTGTGGGGTTATACTCAATATATACAGCAGCGGAAAGCGATCCTTTTCAACTGGTTTTGTGTTAGAACGGATGATTGCGAACTCGGACCGTGGCCATCTTTGGTTGAGCATTTGAATATTCAATGGTTCAATTTGAATATTCATGCCAGTTCAAGACTAACTAGAACGTTAAACAGATGCTGCGTGCTATGTGGTGGATTGCAGTGTCCTAGAATTAAGCCTTAGCACAGCAATAAACAGACTGGTGAAATTGCATGTCCATATATAGGGGCCAGGCAATACCATAATTATTAAACCAAGTAAATGTACTATCAGTTATAGTTGATTCAATTGTCTAGTGAATTACGCACAGCGTTAACTAATACATGCACATGGGGTCGTCTGGGTTTTTGTCGGGTCAGATCTTCGAGAGCGGTCGGGTTGTCGTGCTGCGC